GATTTTGAGGGGATTTTTCCTGACAGTTCTGGCGGCCAGGGGATTTTTCCTGACAATTCAGCTAGAAGCATCTGCCGAAAAACCGATGCCGGTAGCGACAAAAACCTACCGGGAACTTTGCAAAAAACGCATCTTCGCACGGGCAGCCCGTGCGTTGGCCATTTATTTTTTTCTTTAAAGCGTGTACTAAAATTTTATAAAAAGTAATCCCCGAAACATTTTAATACACTGGCTTTTCACGAAGGATAAGCACCGATTCGTATAGTGCGCACTGCGACACACTGGCCGATTCCTGTTTTCTACAGTAATTAAATATTTAAGGATCAGCGATAATTTGCTACTTTTCATTTTTAACTTTGTATTGGACAATTTTTGCAGATAGGACTAAATTGTACAGCGGAACGGAGGACGATTCCCACACACTACCAAATCAACATTTTTGGCCGAAATTGCTCAAAAGTTCGTGTGCAACGACAGGTATCATCGGTTGACGAGTTTAAGGACAGGCTGTCTCACGGAACTCCTTCCAAACCATCTCGAACAGTTCATTATAGCCCGCAAAGTTAGTCGCTGATTTGCTGCACTTTGCATGGATTTTTCGAAGGACTGCTTAGAGAAGCCATTAATACTGGTCACAACAGTGATCTTTGTTGGTATGAAAAAAAGCGGTAACTTAAGGCAGTTTAATTAGCCAAATGGCGGCCGAAAACGGTATGTTGTGGAAATCCCAAGACGGCGGAACAATTTTTGATTAGTACGAATAGCATTTAGCTTTATTAAAAGAGGAATCATCAAGGATCAAATCAAGAATTCTTAAGCTTAGATACAACACTGATTTCACATACTAGCAGACCTGGTGCAACGAAAAGTAGCGCTGTTTCCGTGCTGAAAATCCAGGATCACACTCCACGATTCTGACAACTCTCTTACTCTTTTCGGTGATATATTGGTACTGGCAGGTACCAGAGAGCAAGAACCCCCACTCGGATAAGGGAGCCACTAACAACCTAGCCAGCGTGTAGTTGCTGCTTGCACATTTCTAAAATTTGGTCAGCTCGCCTCTTATAAGGAATAAATTCTGGAGGGAGTTTTGACTTATGACTTTCCGACACAGCGTGCTAGAAT